GGAAAATTATGGGCTTCAATGTAACATATAAAACATTACAAAAAAAATGTTCAACAATTTTTGTGGGGTTAACATTTCTCAATAATTATAAAATAAATGAAAAAAAAAATTATGCTTGCGCTCAATAAATTGTTAAGTTATGATTTATAGGCCTACTTTTAACTTTGTTCAGAATTTTATGAGGATTCCAAAAATATAATAATATAAGGAAGTAGGTTTGCAAATAAATAAGTTATGGGCAAAAAACTGATTTCGGTACATAGCGTTAAGCTAAGAATGCATAGCCTAACCATAGCTAGGAATCTGGCTGATAATTTACATCAATATCACTACCTAAGTACTTCTTCAGGATCATCAACCAGCCCTTCAAAATCACTTAAATCTTCTTATAATGCACCTTGTATATCACTACTTTTGATTTTTAACACTAAAACAATGATAAACGTAATCAAACACATCAGTTATCGGTGCGAGGTTAACCAAGCTGTTTACAAATACGCACGTCAGCTGTCTGCTACAATATTTTCGGAACTAAAATGAAAAGCGTAAAGAAACCTAGACATCAGGAGAAAGCTCTGAATCTGCTGAAAAAAACGGTGCGAGGTTAACCAAGCTGTTTACAAATATGCACGTCAGCTGTCTGCTACAATATTTTCGGAACAAAAATGAGAATTTCTGCGGAGCTGTACTTATTCAAGGCCTAGCCTAGGACTAAGTACCGGTAGGTAACTTAAGTAATATTTTTTAAAGAGGTTAACCCTCCAAGTGTCCATAGTTTAGGCCTTAATCTCCACCTATTTTTGGCGCATTTGCAAGGTTTTATTAAAACGGATCTGAGAAGCTTAAAACAATGTTAATTCTAATGTTCTATATACCATGTTTGGAAAATCATGGGCTTCAATATCATACATAAAACATAAGGAATATTTGTTTAAAAAAAAAATTTTAGGTAAAAAAAAATTATTTTGGAAAAATTGAAAAAAAAATAAGTTTGCGCTCAATGAAATTGTATAAATTATAGGCCTATAAATATATGAAAATAGCCACTTTGTTCTAAATTTTATGAGGATTACAAATATATAATAATATAAGGAAGTAGATTTGCAAATAAATAAGTTATGGGCAAAAAACAGATTTCAGTACATAGCGTTTAGCTAAGAATGCATAGCCTAACCATAGCTAGGAATCTGGCTGATAATTTACATCAATATCACTACCTACTTCTTCAGGATCATCAACCAGCACTTCAAAACCACTTAAATCTTCTTATAATGCACCACGTATATCACTACTTTTGATTTTTAACACTAAAACAATGATAAACGTAATAAAACACATCAGTCATCGGTCCGAGGGTAACCTAGCTGTTTACAAATACACGCACGTCAGCTGTCTGCTACAATTACGATCGGCTCAGAGAACATACAGCGCTGAGACAGACCTCTGGAGAAAGCTTAGAATATAACGGAAAGAACGATACCGTACCTAACTCGATCCAGTTCAATCCCATTCAGTCAGTCATAGAGCCTTCGCCGTAAACGATGTCTGGGTCATTCCATTTCAAATCATCCAATAAAAAAATAAAATGTCACCCATGACCTCAGATTTGGCTGAAATTTTTTTTATTTGTTCATTTGACCACTTTAATAAGATACACCAAGTTTTAAAAAATTATCTTGAATAGTTTTTGAGTTATGAATTTTTGAAATTTTGCTACATACACTTATAACGGCGCTTCCGAGGCGAAAAGGTTCGGTGACGTTCTTATATACAAAAATCCATAACTTCTACAATATTTAACATAAAGCAATAGTTTTTTCACCAAAATGTTCAGAAAAATCAGAGGATTATAGAAAAAATACATTTGGCTAGTTATTTCTTCACATTTATATGTAATGCATTGCTAAATTTAAATTTTGAGTTATTTTTTAATTTACAAACAAAAAATCTTTAAAAGCGATTATTGACCAAAGGCATAGCAGTAACCAAAGCAATTTTTTTTTTAAATTAACCCTAAAGATATAAACTAAAGTAATCTGGAATAAAATTAATGGTTTTTTACCAGCTAATATTTTTTTTATTCATATAAGTTACAATATGGGTTATGGCGAAGAAATCCTATGAAATCGATAACTTGACTTTGCTATCCAAGTTTAAAACCTATAATATTCATCCAATTGCAAACAACATATTTTAATTAAATTACAATGACTTGTCAATAGTCAATACTTAAAATGTATGCACTAACCCTTAGATATTAATTGTGAAAACATGTGTTTTTAACTGTTACCGGTACCGTATACTAGGCTGTACAAAAAATTAAAGCTGCAGTAAATGATGGGCTATACCAATTGTACTTACAAAGAAATGTATTTATTATTTATACAAGGGCTTATTGGATTAGAACATTTTTGTGATAATCATAAAGGCCTTTAACAGTAGAGGAGTTACCTTAGTTTTGGATATGGGTGCGTGTGAGCCTCAACATTTTCTTACAATGCAAGTCAGCAGCTTGAACTTCCTTTTCAGGAAAATAATACATCCTCCTTGAGCCTTTAGTTGTAGGTGGATTGACACTTGAAATTATGTTGCATAGGCCAGTAAAATGATTTTGCTGGTCCGTGGGGATGTAGAAATTTAACTTTAATATAGGTACTCAATGTCTTTTTTTTCTCATGACTAATCCGAAACACCAATTGTCATCATAAATGCACAATGTAGGCAACCAAGCTATTGTCCTGTTAGATTTCAGCAAAAACAATTCCTATGTAACCTTACTAATATAAATGTGAAAGTTTGTGTCTGTGTTTGTTTGTTTGTGTGTTTGAAGTTCAATCACGCATAAACCACTGGACGGATTGGGCTGAAATTTGGCATGATGATAGCTTACATTCCCGATTAACATATAGGCATATTCTTACCTCAAAAATCCTTTCGGGCTCCGCTCCAGTTTGGTTGAGCGAAGAATATGCCTATATGTTAATCGGGAATGTAAGCTATCATCATGCCAAATTTCAGCCCAATCCGTCCAGTGGTTTATGCGTGATTGAACTTCAAACACACACACAAACAAACAAAGACACAAACTTTCACATTTATATTAGTAAGATTACATAGGAATTGTTTTTGCTGAAATCTAACAGGACAATAGCTTGGTTGACTACATTGTGCATTTATGATGACAATTGGTGTTTCGGATTAGTCATGAGAAAAAAAAGACATTGAGTGTGATATTAAAGTTAAATTTCTACATACGGACCAGCAAAATTGTTTTACTTGCCTATGCAACATAATTTCAAGTGTCAATCCACCTACAACTAAAGGCTCAAGGAGGATGTATTATTTTCCTGAAAAGGAAGTTCAAGCTGCTGACTTGCATTGTAAGAAAATGTTGAGGCTCACACGCACCCATATCCAAAACTAAGGTAACTCCTCTACTGTTAAAGACCTTTATGATTATCACAAAAATGTTCTAATCAAATAAGCCCTTGTATAAATAATAAATACATTTCTTTGTAAGTACATTATTGGTATAGCCTATCATTTACTGCAGCTTTAATTTTATGTACAGCCTAGTATATGGTACCGGTTACAGTTAAAACACATGTTTTCACATTTAATATCCAAGGGTTAGTGCACAAATTTTAAGTATTGACTATTGACAAGTCATTAATTTAATTTAAAAGATGTTGTTTGCAATTGGATGAATATTAGAGGTTTTAAACTTGGATAGCAAAGTCAAGTTATCGATTTCATAGGATTTCTTCGCCATAACCCATATTGTAACTTATATGAATAAAAAAAAATATTAGCTGGTAAAAAACCATTAATTTTATTCCAGATTACTTTAGTTTATATCTTTAGGGTTAATTTAAAAAAAAAATTGCTTTGGTTACTGCTATGCCTTTGGTCAATAATCGCTTTTAAAGATTTTTTGTTTGTAAATTAAAAAATAACTCAAAATTTAAATTTAGCAATACATTACATATAAATGTGAAGAAATAACCAACCAAATGTATTTTTTCTATAATCCTCTGATTTCTCTGAACATTTTGGTGAAAAAACTATTGCTTTATGTTAAATATTGTAGAAGTTATGGATTTTTTTATATAAGAACGTCACCGAACCTTTTCGCCTCGGAAGCGCTGTTATAAGCGTATTTTGCAAAATTTCAAAAATTCATAACTCAAAAACTATTCAAGATAATTTTATAAAACTTGGTATAGGCTATCTTATTAAAATGGTCAAATGAACAAATAAAAAAAAATTCAGCCAAATCTGAGATCATGGGTGACATGACCTGGATGAATGGGCATGGAATGACCCGTCTGCGTGTCGAAAAATCGACAAGTAACACTACACAAAGTGTAAGTGTGTGTGTGTGTTGTCGAATTTTCGTCAAGTAACACTGGGAGGGTTAACTTACAAAACTCTGATCCTAAGTTACTATTTTATGGGGCTAAGTTAAGCCTAAGTTAAGTTTGCTGCTACGGCCTGAGCTCTAGTCTGTGCTAACTTATTCATAAAAATATTTAACATAGGCCTAGCCATAAGTTAGGCTGTCCCTTGGTTAAGCCTAGGCCTCTCACTCTTAATAAGCACAATGGTTCGCCTTGGTCGTGATAATTCAAGAATTTAATAACTTAAGTTAAAACTTAAGCATATTCACTGCTCAAAACAAGAACAATTTTGTTCCCGCTCTAAAACCACTCCTTGGTCAGGTTAACTACCTTTTCTGCTTGTGGTGAATGACTTTCTAAATTAGGCTAACTAACATTTTAAGAGTTAAGTTTAAAATCATATAATAATGAAGGGAATGTTTCTAAAGTTATAGATTGATAAGGAACTTTACAGATATAAGCAGCTTTAGAATTAAGAAATTTCCAGAAAATAAACTGTATTACGAGTTGGGTGATGAAATTTTGAGGAGACGCATTTTTCCGTCTACTACAGCTCCGCCATATTGAAATGACAGGGATCGTAATCATTGAGGTACTCACCATTTTTAGTTTACAATTCCCAACGTAATCCTGAGACGAATGATTCTAAAAATTGCACTACGACACTATGCACGACATGGCGAGCATTTTGTTACTTGAGAAGTACGGTAAATTGAACTTTTTAAAGCTAGAGAACGGAGCAACGAGATGTCGTCTTCAAGGACACTAACAGTATAGAAACATGGCGTCCATTCCATCGTCGATTATCGTCATCGTCTTCACTCTTCCCTCTCCCTCCACCGGCTTCACCTTCCACTTCTGTCTGCAGCAGCAGCACGTTGGACAACGGAAATGACGAGGAACAAAGTGTCCAACATGACGGAGAAAAAGTCACTATGAAAGACCTAAATAAAGTTTCCCATTATTATAATAACTATAAGTACGTTATTAAATATACAGTATTTCGGTCTTATTCAGTCATGCAGTCAATGTCTGAAAATATTTTTTTTTCATTTTTATCATTGTTATTGAGATAGGTGAAATTGTTCTACTTACTTTACTTCTATCTTCTTCAACCTTCTTCAACACTAAGTTAAGTGAATAACTAATTTTGTAGTCCCCTTAAATCCCTTCCCTTTCAACTCCTGTGTTTATTCTTCAAATGAACTCTATACCATTTATACAGTCAATGGTCGTCTATACCAACCAGAATTATTGATTATTTCAAGTAGGCCTAGGTACCGAAGTTGTTTATGTTTATTTGTACAATTAATTAATTATTTAACGTGCAGGCAAAATATTCAATACTACACACTGCCTTTGCTATTTCATGTTCGGTTGAGTGGGTTATTTCAAAGAATCATTTAAAGTACATAATAATATTTTTATAGTAGTCATTATTCTAAATGATCTTAAAACGGTACCTGGTACAGCAAAATTTGAAAAATATACATTATTTTCTTTCACAATATCAAGAAAAGAAACACATAATTAAAAAATGTGCCGTCCACATATTACGTACGGTAATGCGATTCATCATTTTAAACCTCTCCCTGCCCCCTGTGACGCTGCATAACGCAAGCCTAAACCATTGACTATATATACCTCTGTAGGTATATGTAGTCAATGCCTAAACCCACCCCCTACCCACAGTAACGCGGAACGCTGTCAGATATTTTCTTAAACAAAACCAAGTTGTGTGGTATGAAATCTCAGAGACGAAACTTTCTCCTTAATTCAAAACAAGTTTTTAAATTGGTTTTTAAGTAATGAACGTTATGGTAACTCTAAGAATTCTCAAACTCCAGTCAAATTCTTAGGTGTGATGATACAGAGCAACCTAAAATGGTTTTCCCATATTGATTTTATCGCTCCAAAACTCTCCAAAGGAATTTTTATTTTAAGAAATTTAAAATCAATTGTTTCTCCAGATTTATTGTTAACTGTGTATTTTAGTTATGTTCATTGTCATTTAGTATATAGTGCCATTCTCTGGGCAAATTGTAGCCATGCCAACATCTTGTTTGTTTTACAAAAAAAGAACCATTAGACTGTTAAGTAATGCTCCCCCACGTAGTCATTGTAAGCCTATATTTAAGAAATTGTCTGTGATGCCCTTAACCTGTATTTATATTTTTCAATGTCTGTTATGTTAAAAACAACTGTGATATTTTACTTTGTAATAAGGATGTGCACAAGTATGCCACAAGGAATTGTAATAATTTAAGAATAGATCAGTGCCTTTATGCCACCACTCAAGCTAGCTTCAAATATACCGCTACCAAATTGTACAACAAGTTACCAGTTAAAGTTAAAAAGTTACCATTAAATGTTTTTAAAGTAGCCATCAAGAGAATTCTTCTAAAAAACTGTTTTTTATAAAATAGAAGATTATTTTGCCTCAACCTTAGATTAGTTTTAAGTTGTATTATATTGTTGACGCAGCCTATACACTATTGTACTTTTCACAATTTGTGTCTATGGAATAAAGATGATTTGATTTGATTTGATTTGAATGTTACCATTATAAAATAAACATTGTAAGAACAAACTTTACAGTTTATTTAACAAAACATATAAAAACGTCAATTATTTTGTATACTAAACTAAACTTTAACATAAAACTCAATGTGTGTTCAATCGTATTCAACCTAGGGTGACCGAATCCATTTTTGATGTCTTTATATCAGAGAACATTTCCAGACCAATGCGAACAATGGAACAATACAAATTATGTGGGGTGGGTTCCATAATATCGACAACCGTAGAAATTGATCGAAACTGAATTATTCCCAGTTTGTCGACACTGGAATATTCCCACTTAACCGACATCCCAAATAACCGACGTCGCAAATGATCGACACCACAAATTGTCGACATCCCATATTGTCGACAATGAAATAGTTTCACTATGTCGACACTGAAATAGTCCCAGTATATCGACAAGCTCCCGTTCTTCGGAGCTACTCTTGAAAAGGAGTTGTTCTAATTCATCGTTCAGTTCCTCAACTCACGAGTCGCAATATTTAATTCCGAATTCCGACGGACAATGAATAATGATAAGCTGGAATAATGATAATTTTAAGTTATTATTAACCTAACTTTTATATTGTAAATATTTATCTTTTTTATTTCTTTCCTTGCTTACAGGAAAATTTGTGACTCGTGTGTTACAAACAATAGTTTTTAAAGGGAAAAAATGTGAAATAATTTGTATAGGTAGGTTATGTAGGCTAATCAACATGATAACAGACACTTTAGGTTATTTCCCAACAAGAAGGTAAAGTAAGACACCAACAAGAACTTAAGATACAGCTTATTCGTAGGCTAATTCTGAATCATCAAGCAATATTGTAGCAAATGTTTGAATAGGCATATCCCTAGGCTAGGCCTATTAGGATTGTCTCTTATTCCCATTGACCCAGTGTCAACTTTAAGAATTTGTTTATGTAAAAATATTCCGGTGCACTTTAGTTTATATCCTTTATTCATTCAAATGAAAGATAGACTATTTAATGTTTTAAATATTTCATTCCGTTAGTTAGGTTGGGTTTCACCCTAACATTACCCAAAATTGATATAGCCTAGGCCTAAGTTTATCGAATGAAATAATCAATATGACTGGGACGGGTGGCGTCGTCCTGTAATCCAGCTTCAGCTACTAGGAGGTCACAAATTGTGGATATTTATAGGCATGCACTGTGGATGCGATACTCCCTGGTGTGGATTAACGTCCGCTTGAGTGAGTACTACGACTATCCGCAGTACTATCCAGATAATTAGACCAATTCGTATATAGACCAAGGCAATAATGTGGTTCGGATTCCACTATAAACTGTAGGTCCCTTAGTTGCCATTAGCTGTATGGGCTATTAATTAACAGCTGTGTCTAAGGAATGTCGGCCTTAGTCACTAACAAGACTACAAGATCGCGCCACTCATCCTGATCCTACACTCATTTCCATTCGTACTTGGCTTTAAATACCTACTTTGTATGGTCGCCAAGTAGTGATGTGGGCCGGGTAAATACCCAGTGGGTAGGTAAATATAAATTGGGTATTTACCCCAGGCCCGGGTAAATACCCAAAAACTGGGTATTTATAATTTTTATTAAAGTTAGAGAAGATTGAGATGTTTTTTTGCAATTATCATCCTGTAAGGATAGTAAAATTATGATAAAATGTGTTAAACAAAATTTCATATGGTCACTACTAGCATTTTACTTCTGGGTACAATCGCCATAAATACCCAGGTCTGAGCATTAAGCATAATCGGCATAAATACCCTGGTCGCATGGTTGCACTGGTCCTGACTACTTATGATTTTTTAATTTCTATGATAGATGGATGAATTTATTTTATTGAAAGTGAAGAAAAATAATTTGCAAAGTAATAATTATTATTTATAAATACATGAAAATTCAATCTGTAGGATGGCAGGATTTAATAATATTTTTGTTCTAGATCTTTTGGTGGTATCAATGGTATCAAAATAAAAAAAAAACTAATTTCATAAACTTGTGATACAAAATATTTAAATCTATAGCACAATAAATCTTTCAAAATTATATTAAGTTAAACCAAAAAACAGGTGATACATTTTTTTAGTAGGTTTATCCAAATATATTATTGTTTCCAACTAAGCGGTAACACAGAAAAGTTTACATTAATTAGTTTTAGTATACTGCCATTCTGCCTTAGGTTTCTGTCTAGCCTTCCAAGCCATTTATACGATACAAAATTTTAACTATCATAATTTAATTATTTAATAACAGTACAGTAGAAGTAGGTTTAGGTTCACTATTTCTCTGATGAGGTGTTGTCTTGATAAAAAAGGAAACCCCATTCTTATTTAAAAACTTTATGTTTTATTTTAAAAAAAGTGCTAAATCATTAAATAAAAGGTACTAGCAAAGCTTCAAGTTACTGTAAAAGGTGTTACGGTATAGACTATCATAATTTTTCATGTAATGATAACAATAACATATTTAGGGGTGAATATAAATGAATTTCAATCGATTTTATAAATACCCAAAATACCCGGGTATTTATGGATTTTGGGTAGTTACCCGGGTAAATACCCAGGGTATTTACCCTGAGTTTTAAATACCCGGGTATTTTACATCACTATCGCCAAGTAATAAGAAAGAAAGTATTAAAGAAATATATTCATTGGAATGAGTGTAGGACGTAAACTTAAGTGCTGTAAAATATTCTAGAGCTGTTTGTATTTGGTGTAAGACTAGACTTGGATTATATCATTCATTGCTGATGACATCAATGTTAATTTTATAGATGATCCTGGAGCAAAGGCTGTAATTTGACCTGAACCCAAATTGGTCTCTATTTTAAATATTGTCTTGAACCAATAAGTTAAGAGGACTAACCTTTCTGGACGACATTGCCATCGACATCACAGCAGATGAGAGAGAAAGAGAGACCAGAGTTGTGGACCCTGGAGGCAATTACCATACTGCCGTGATAATGTTCCTTGGTCTAACCATAACTTAAGTGAGGTGAGTCAACATTCTTTCCCCTTTTGTGATAGATTCTAGGCTATGTTTGTTAACTAAGTTATTCAAAGTTCAAATCGGTACTTTGGTAAGTGTTATCCGGAGGCTACAGATAGGCTATACAGCGCTTTGTGGCGGTTATGTTAGGTTGGATTATCATAAATGGAAAGAACATTTTTATGTCCTAGGCCTACTGTCCATATTTGGGTGGGTTCCATATTATCGACAACCATAGACACTGATCCAAACTGAATCATTTGCATTTTGTGTTGAACAGAGTTTGAACAACTAATTATTTATATGTTTTATGGTAACTGTAGGGTAAATATAATGTGTAACACAAGTGCAAACTGCCATTGCTGCACTCGACAAACTTTCCACACTCGCCTACGGCTCGTGCGTAAACATTTCTCTCATGTGTAGCAAAGTGCCACTTCGCCCACTAGTTACCTACACAAATAAACTATTATTAATAGTTTTTGGTGGAACATAAGGATAATTAATCTTTATGCAAATTTATAGTTTTTTTATAAACATTCAAAACTAGGCCCCTACTTAAAATGCATTTGGATTACATCTCGAAACATGTTGTTTGGAAATGTCTTAATTAGGCTAGAGCTTGCATTTTTGCAAATTGGGAAATAACAAAGAATTAATGTTGAACACGTTCGCTACCGAGCGACGCTCATATGCGTCGGTCCGGTCACTCCTACAGACCAAAAGAAATGATCATGACGTTGCTTACAGACCAAGTGATATAGGAATAACATTGCCAACAGACCAAAAGAGAAATATCGTTTAAATGGGCTAATTGACTTAATATTGACCTTAAGTGAATTAGTAAGCTATAAATATTGTTTTTATTTATCGTTTTGAGCAAATTTTAAAACGCCGCATATATGCGTCGGTCAGTCTATTTAATAAAATCCAGATAAAAAGATTACCTACATTTTCGTTTCAATAGACCAGGCAACGCACGTTTAAGCGTCGTTGTAAATTTGGTTGTTTCAAGCTTTTACTCAAACAAATAAAGAAACTCCAAACACTCGCCAAAACTGCAAAGGTTATAACGTTTACATCTGTTCTGAGATGTCGCGGAATGCACAATGTAAACAACAATGTTGCCAACTGTTGTGTGACGTAACCAATCGTCATATCCACAGACCAAGCGACGCACATTCGCGGCAGATATCCCTCTAGACTGATACGATAAAATCAGGGCTTTAAAATAGACCGTTGCTAAGAAATACGCTGATTAATAACATTGAACACCGACGCAAGTGTGTGTCGTTAGTCTATTTCAATATGATCAGCTGACGCAAATATGTGTCGGTGGTCTATTGTGAGAAACGAGTCGACGCACAATTGCGTCGCTGGTCTATGCGAACGTAAATTTTATATAATTGTGGTAGCGAACGTGTTAAACCAATTTATTTTGTCTAAACCAAATTATTGTTACAAATTATAATATTTGTACTAACTTGACCCAGATTTGCTCAAACATTTTCCTATTAGCTGTACCTATTTGAATATCACAAATATAGAAAGGAGTGTACAGACTTGTATTATTTGTTGGACTCAAAGTACTTGTATAACACTATTTTTTGCAATATTTCTGTACAGAACTGAAGCCTACCAGTAAAATGGGGGCGTTGTAATTAATATCCTCCGACATTGGAGAATACAGGGGAGAGGTGTCAGAGGAAGAGGAGATGGAGGATGGGGCGAAGTAAAGACTAAGATTGAAGAGAAACTAACTAATGGTAAGTTTTGCCATTTACTTAAATTTAATCTATCTATATATTAATAGGCAAGCATGTTTCTTTAAAACCTTTTTTCTCAGCTCGTGTGCATCGTAGGGAAAATCTACGCATACCGTTAGAAAGCTATTTTCCTGTAGGTGTGCAGAATCCCTTTATAAATTAAAATAGGCTCAAAGATAAGCACAAAAAATGAGTTTAAAATTTGAAAAAATTAACATGGATCATATGGGTTGCTATGCTGGTGACGAAATAACAACGAAATATAAACAGAAAATCAAAACAAATGGAAGAAACTCCAATCACATGTTTTATTTACAGTGTGAGGTTAAAATAGAGAAATCTGTACATTACATATTTTTGGTCGAGTTTCGACCACTGGACGACCTCTAGTACTTATAAATCCAGGGCCGTGTCCCCAAGCCTATGTCGCATAACCCTCCTGAATTACTAGTATTTAACCAGCATTTTAACTGGAGATGTGCCCAAAAATTTGCTTTTGTTTTTTTAGGAAATGTAGGCGGGTAGTCGTAAATTTCGATCACGCAATCTTTGCAGATGCTTTCGGCTATCATGAGAATACAAGACAAACTTGGATTATTGTACCCCCTAATTCTAACAGATTGTGGGAAAATTTTCCAAGAGAAAAAGCATTCTTTTGAGGCCCCAAGTGAGTCCCCTTCCCAGGCCGAAGCCCTTGGCAATCGCAGTGTCCACCGTTAGGGGAATACGGCCCTGATTTGGAGGCCTATGTTGGTGTGGGGCCTGGTGCAAACCCCCCCCCCTCAGTACGCCACTGAGTACATTAAATAATGATAGAAGTATGCATAAAAAGATTCTTGTTCTGTTCAGAATACTGTTTTAAATATTAATTTTTGTTCTGTTATATCCAGGCCTGATGACAGGGTGGATGGCGATGGAGGCATGGAGGTTGGGGGAGAGGAGGCTGAAGAAGTGGAGACAAATCAGTTTAGATCCATTATGTTGATTAGTTTAACATTTATTTTAAACGTCAGTATTTAAATTTTTTTCTCATTTAGATTATTAAATTAAGATAATTTTATTGTTTTTATGAAGATGTTTTCTTACATTTTTAATATTTGTTTGTACTTCTGCCTGGTAAAAAAATACTGTTTTCCTACAGTTACCTAACAATGTACATGTTCTCTCACTGATTTGAGAAAGCAAAGTGGCCAATTCGCTCATCAGTGAGACAATGTTAACATTGTCTCACTCTAATTACTTTGTCTCACTCCAGATTTGCAACGTGAAGGCACAAAATAGTGAGCGCGTAACATGCAGACAAGGTCGTATGTGCGCGAAATACGTTGGCAGCACTGGCTGTAAATCAGCTGGTCAGCTGTTTTACTGTTGTATCATTAAATGTCATATTAAAAGTTCACTTCTGTGTAAAAATATATTACGTTTCTTTACCAATTTATTTGTTTTATGGTAACTGTAGGATAAATATAATGTGCAGCTCGAGTGCAAAGTGCAATTGCCTCACTCGAGAAAACATTCCTCACTCGCCTACGGCTCGTGAGTAAGTATTTCTCTCGAGTGAGTCAATTTATCACTTTGCTCACTAGTTGCACAAATAACTATTATTATCTTTGTTAAAATGATTACTTTCACTAACTGACCTTGTCTTGGGTAAAAAGAGATATCTTGATATTTAACTAGCAGGGTGCCTGTTCTATGGGCGGGGATTGTATAAGTCAGTAGAAACCTTCTTATATTTCGATACTTGGTAAATTAATCATTTCCAACTTTATATAGTATAGATCGCTATTCCTGTATTGATGTACTGAAATGAATAAAATTATATGAAATGAAATGTTGTTTTTTTTACATATTTTGATGACACACTATTAAAAAGACATAGCAATATTCTAAAGTTTATAACAGCTTATGTTTGTGTTTTTATTACCGTAATGATTTATTGTGACTTTTGAGTGATTGAAGGATTTGTGATTTGGTTTTAAGGAGATTGATGTACCTAATTTTGTATCTATACTTATTAAATAGGTACGCAAGCAGGTTTTTGTGACAATTACTTCTCCGAAATTACTGAACCAATTGACATGTTTTTGGTGTCATTGGAAAGAGCATAACGTGAAGTTGTGCAAGAAACTTTCTTTTTAGGGAAATAATTAGAGAGTGAGGACCTGGGGCCTTTTAAAGTTTCGTATTTCTCCATAAGATTAACATGGGAAACAAATATTGTTATGAAACTCCAGCTGTTGTCAGAAATTTAAAGTGAGAAGAAGAACATATGTTAATTGTAAAATTGTGACAGAGAGGTTATGCAGAAAATCAGGTAGTTAATGGTTATTTGGTGCTATTAAAATAAAGACTGAAATTTGTAAACGTACTGGCGACAATGGGTGATACCACGCAAACTGCATTATCATTGACAAAGACCAACATGGACAACCTATTGTGGCTATAAGTGGGAAACATTTCTACAACACACTAAAAGCCTATGGTGGAAGGAAAAAACATAGGTGTGCTATTCCCGTCATATTCTGACGTCACTTGGATTGCAAACAAAAGATCACCTGATTGTAACTGTCAAATTAGTATGTAATTGTTTTGATTTGATTGTTAATGTTTTTTTATAAAAACATACATTATAAAAACAATAACAACCAAATCAAAACAAATACATATACTAATTTGACAGTTATAATCAGGTGATCTTTTGTTTGCAATCCAAGTGACATCAGAATATGACGGGAATAGCACACCTAGGTTTTTTTCCTTCCACCATGCTAAAGCCAGATCAGCTTTTGAAACATGATAAAATATTTATAAGAAATGTTGATTATGTTGAACTGGTAAGTTACATTGTGAGTATTATCATTAGTTACGTAATCTTTGAGTTGACTCTTTTAGACTCATCGGAATTTATAAATTATATTTGTTCTTAAACAAGTTATTTGTTTTTAAATAACTCCTTTATGTACTTCTTTGCGATTGCTCGATTTCAAGCAACATATATACCTAGTTCAATTTATGGGTCAACTTTTTTTTATAAGAACCGGGTTTTGTTATTCATGTAACTATTGGAACACTTTTTATTATAGTATCCATAATAGGAGTAAAAAAATTAAACATAACTAGAAAACACCAGGTAGGATTCGAATCAGCTGCTTGATATTGACATTTTGTGGACATTGTGTGACTATCTAATATATAAAATTCTCGTGTCACAGTGTTTGTCTGCAAACTCCTCCGGAACGACTTCACCGATCGTTATGAAATTTGGTGTGTAAATTCTGTAGGTATGCGAATCGGACATAAACTATTTCCCGTTTCGAAATTCTTAAAAGGGCTCCGCCCCAGTGGCTCTGGAGTTTCCCATGTTAACCTTATGAGAAATGGAATTAATGAATCTTAACAGCTGTTTCAATTAAACAAGTTGGTTCTGTTCTATGATGTTCAATAGCATTAAAGTTACAAGGATTACCAACAGGGTGCAGCACTATTATTTCTTTTACATTTATGACAACAGCTAATTTGCAACCAAAAGGTGAGTGAGCGTAGCGAACGAACTTCAACCTGGAGGCGAGTGAGCGTAGCGAACGAGCTCCAACCCAAAGGTGAGTGAGCGTAGCGAACGAACTTCAACCAGGACGTGATTGAGCGATGCGAACGAGATCATCTTGAAAATTAAACGTAACGGTACTTTCTTTCCATCGGTCTGTCTTAGGGGAAACCATATAACTTAGGCGATACGAAGTTCGCCAGGTCAGCTAGTTTTTATATATATTTCAATCTACTGATGAGGGAATTAAATTAACAACAATTTATTTAGTATAAGTTTGTTAGTATATAGTTTGTTCTTGTGTCTGATTAACATGGATATGGATGTCACTGAAATAGCCACCCTGGAAAATACATCACACAAACTGACCTTGTGAAAATAGGGTCAGGAAAGAAAAAAACCTGTCATTGTTAGTGTCAGCCCGGTTTTCTGGCTAGTCAAACTAGCCTATAACTGAATAAGTTACACACACTTACCATGGTTGGAATATGCAGGCAACCTTGTGTTTGCATTGAACAGTGTGACAGAACAAAAACCAATAACTTTGTGGTAATGCAAACATCTATACAGTAATGAGAATTGAATTGAGAATCAAAGATTCATAATTATAATTATAATTAATAATTCAGTAATAGAGTAAACAAACAAACAATAAATGTTCATAAATAAAATTAGAGTTTTGTCTGTAAATTGCTCAGAATTATATATTAAAACCTTTTTATTAGCTCGCTTTCTTGTCTGGTACAAATTTTGCAATCAATTTTATACTAAGTTCCCAATGAGCTATAGAGACTTGAAACTTGAAACATAGCTCACAAATGAATAACAATGCAATATTATTTAATTTTCATATTTCCCTTGTGCTACGCCCCATGGGCATGGGCTTGTTTTTATTAGCTCGGTAGTCGCTTTCCTACAAATTTTGATATTAATTTTAAACAAAGTTCCCGATGAGCTAGAGACTTTAAATTTGAAACATAGCTCCCCAAATGGATGACAATGCAATATTATATCATTTAATTTCACATTTCCCTTGGGCTACGCCCCATGGCCTTCCAAATTTTCCATGTTTACATTTTGAAAGAATGTAAATATATCAATTAATTTAAGTCATCTGTATTTTTTTTTAATACTAAATAATATAATTCACAATTTTGATATGGAAAAATAATAAAACATTTGCTATTTAAATTAATAAATAACTGGTACTCCAGCCCCATCTTCAAACTCTCTAAGGGTCCTCCACTTCTTCCTTGTCCTCCTTAGACATATGCTGCTGGCCCTTAACGTCGCACAAAAAGGTTTCTTCCATTTTTCTGTTAGGCGTTCTGCCATTGCTCTGAGCAAGGTCTGAAACTCTTTGCCCAGCATTACGTCCACAGACGTGACTAGTGGGGTAGAAGATGCATTTCTGGTTTCTGTTATTGTTAAGTAT